CTCCTACAAATAAATGCTACTCACTCCGCCCTACATTAAAACTAAAATATTTCAAGGTAAGTAATAAATGTACTGCGGTAGTATCAAAGCCCTAGAGAGGCTTTGATACCTGAAGTCCTTATGGAGGGGGATTCCCAACTCCTCTCCCCTCCTCACCTTCAATATACCAACAAGAGTCTTCAATAAAGGTATGTAATGATCATTTATCATTAAATTTTGTGCTTTATATTTATTTCTCATTGTTTTGTGTATGTAAAACTATAGTTATTCTCTATAAAATGTGTTTTTTATTATTAACTCTTGGGTGTCTGAAATGGATTAATTGGATTTACATTATTTCTTATGGGAAATATTATTTCGGTTTTTGGCTTTTTCGGATTTAGGCCGACCTTCTGGAACGAATTACGGCCGGTAACGAGGGTCCCACTGTGCTCAGTTACACTTTCATTACCATCTCTAATACTGTAAACATCAATGTGTTGCTTGAAGTGAAACAGTGTGCCCTATGGGCTCCACACAGTGCTTCATATGTATTATATATTGTATATTTGAATGTAATACGTATATATGTATTATGCAAAGCAAAATCTTTAACCTTAAATAAAGCAACTTTAAGCATCACACTAATAAGAGTAAGTAATCATATGCTTGACTACCATTATAGAGTAACAGAAATAGTGCTCTTAAACCTATTAAACAGAAGCCTATAAAATTTTGTGAGAGTGAACCAAAAATAAATTGGATAAACGAAAACACAGTGGACTGTGACTAAAAAAAAAATTAGAATGATTCAAATTTGCTAAAATAACACTTCCATATAACCGAACAGATATCTTTAAAGTGGTCTTACATCTGTTACTAAATCGATCCAAAATATTAGGTTTTGATAAAAAGACATCAGAAAGTACCATGTCTATCATGCAATTAGAGGATGGAGGATCGAGCCTCCACCATTCCTTGAGCTAAACGACTTAGATTAGTCTAGTGTTTCACCTGCGATATAAAGTATGAAGCATATTTGCTTAATATAATGTTAATACAGCCTCAGTGAATAATAAGACTCCTGCAGAAGATGTGTGCAGGACAAGACCCAACACATTCTGGTAATAAAAGATTTATTATTATTTTATTATCACACTGGCCGATTCCCACCAAGGCAGGGTGGCCCGAAAAAGAAAAACTTTCACCATCATTCACTCCATCACTGCCTTGCCAGAAGGGTGCTTTACACTACAGATTTTAAACTGTAACATTAAACACCCCTCCTTCAGAGTGCAGGCACTGTACTTCCCATCTCCAGGACTCAAGTCCGGCCTGCCGGTTTCCCTGAACCCCTTCATAAATGTTACTTTGCTCACACTCCAACAGCACGTCAAGTATTAAAAACCATTCGTCTCCATTCACTCCTATCAAACACACTCACGCACGCCTGCTGGAAGTCCAAGCCCCTCGCACACAAAACCTCCTTTACCCCCTCCCTCCAACCTTTCCTAGGCCGACCCCTACCCCGCCTTCCTTCCACTACAGACTGATACACTCTTGAAGTCATTCTGTTTCGCTCCATTCTCTCTACATGTCCGAACCACCTCAACAACCCTTCCTCAGCCCTCTGGACAACAGTTTTGGTAACCCCGCACCTCCTCCTAACTTCCAAACTACGAATTCTCTGCATTATATTCACACCACACATTGCCCTCAGACATGACATCTCCACTGCCTCCAGCCTTCTCCTCGCTGCAACATTCATCACCATGCTTCACACCCATATAGAGTGTTGGTAAAACTATACTCTCATACTTTCCCCCTCTTTGCCTCCAAGGACAAAGTTCTTTGTCTTACAGACTCCTAAGTGCACCACTCACCCTTTTCCCCTCATCAATTCTATGATTCACCTCATCCTTCATAGACCCATCCGCTGACACGCCCACTCCCAAATATCTGAATACATTCACCTCCTCCATACTCTCTCCCTCCAATCTGATATCCAATCTTTCATCACCTAATATTTTTGTTATCCTCATAACCTTACTCTTTCCTGTATTCACTTTTAATTTTCTTCTTTTGCACACCCTACCAAATTCATCAACCAATCTCTGCAACTTCTCTTCAGATTCTCCCAAGAGCACAGTGTCATCAGCAAAGAGCAACTGTGATAACTCCCACTTTATGTGTGCTTCTTTATCTTTTAACTCTACGCCTCTTGTCAAGACCTTCACATTTACTTCTCTTACAACCCCATCTATAAATATATTAAACAACCATCTTCCCAATACCTCTAACTCTCCATTTAATAACTCTCCTCTCCTATTTTTAACTGACAAATCCATTTGTTCTCTAGGCTTTCTTAACTTGTTAATCTCACTCCAAAACTTTTTCTTATTTTCAACAAAATTTGTTGATAACATCTCACCCACTCTCTTCATTTGCTCTCTTTTTACATTGCTTCACCACTCTCTTAACCTCTCTCTTTTTCTCCATATACTCTTCCCTCCTTGCATCACTTCTACTTTGTAAAAACTTCTCATTTGCTAACTTTTTCTCCCTTACTACTCTCTTTACATCATCATTCCACCAATCGCTCCTCTTCCCTCCCGCACCCACTTTCCTGTAACCACAAACTTCTGCTGAACACTCTAACACTACATTTTTAAACCTACCCATACCTCTTCGCCCCCATTGCCTATGCTCTCATTAGCCTATCTATCCTCCAATAGCTGTTTATATCTTTCCCTAACTGCCTCCTCTTTTAGTTTATAAACCTTCACCTCTCTCTTCCCTGATGCTTCTATTCTCCTTGTATCCCATCTACCTTTTACTCTCAGTGTAGCTACAACTAGAAAGTGATCTGATATATCTGTGGCCCCTCTATAAACATGTACATCCTGAAGTCTACTCAACAGTCTTTTATCTACCAATACATAATCCAACAAACTACTGTCATTTTGCCCTACATCATTCTTGTATACTTATTTATCCTCTTTTTCTTAAAATATGTATTACCTATAACTAAACCCCTTTCTATACAAAGTTCAAAGGGCTCCCATTATCATTTACACCTGGCATCCCAAACTTACCTACCACACCCTCTCTAAAAGTTTCTCCTACTTTAGCATTCAGGTCCCCTACCACAATTACTCTCTCACTTGGTTCAAAGGCTCCTATACATTCACTTAACATCTCCCAAAATCTCTCTCTCTCCTCTGCATTCCTCTCTTCTCCAGGTGCATACACGCTTATTATGACCCACTTCTCGCATCCAACCTTTACTTTAATCCACATAATTCTTGCATTTACACATTCATATTCTCTTTTCTCCTTCCATAACTGATCATTCAACATTACTGCTACCCCTTCCTTTGCTCTAACTCTCTCAGATACTCCAGATTTAATCCCATTTATTTCCCCCACCGAAACTCCCCTACCCCCTTCAGCTTTGTTTCGCTTAGGGCCAGGACATCCAACTTCTTCTCATTCATAACATCAGCAATCATCTGTTTCTTTTCATCTGCACTACATCCACGCACATTCAAGCACCCCAGTTTTATAAAGTTTTTCTTTCTCTTTTTTAGTAAATGTCTACAGGAAAAGGGGTTACTAGCCCATTGCTCCCGGCATTTTAGTCGCCTCATACGACACGCATGGCTTACGGAGGAAAGATTCTTTTCCACTTCCCCATGGACAATAGAAGAAATAAAGAAGAACAAGAGCTATGTAGAAAAAGGAGAAAAACCTAGATGTATGTATTTATATATGCATGTGCATGTCTGTGAAGTGTGACCAAAGTGTAAGTTGGAGTAGCAAGATATCCCTGTTATCTAGCGTGTTTATGAGACAGAAAAAGACACCAGCAATCCTACCATCATGCAAAACAGTTACAGGTTTCTGTTTCACAGTCATCTGGCAGGACGGTAGTACTTCCCTGGGTGGTTGCTGTCTACAAACCTACTACCTATAGCATTAGGATTGTCAGAAGTCATTTTTTAACACTGTGGGACTGGGAAAGGCATTGACAAAATTAAGGAAGGTAGAAAGGTAAAGCCTTTAATTAACATTACAGTTTCCAATATATTTAACCCTTTTCATTGCATAGTTTTTCAGTATTTCTGAGTGAATGCTTTCCCATGCTATGAATATGGAAAATGTGATAATGATGCTTAATGATGTCAATATAATGTTAATATTATGTCACTGTACATTGCATATGAACTTATTTTTTGAAATTTACATACCTGTCTAGTGCCAATTGAAGATCGTGCTTTAGCAGCTTTGGCACTACGGCTGACTTCGTAGATGGCTAGACAGAGACGCGTGTTTCGTGGAATGTTGTATACAGCAATGGAAAAGGTTAGGTCTTCATCCACATTACCTGTTCTTTCACTTATACTAACTTCTTGTGTGGTCTTTGTCTCACAGAGTGCACGACTACCGTGATATAGGCCAGCTTCAATCACAACCTACAATAATTTGACGAGCCCTTAACTTAAAAGAAGTTATAGGAGGAAGGAATTGAGTGATCTAAAGATCTCAATGACCTATGAAATCATTCAGGGCATAACTTTCATAAACAATTTAATTGGGATACCTCTTCCTAATTTTTTTAAGCTTGCAAATACTGTACATAATCTGCTCTATAACATTTCACTTCCCTTAGTAAGACTTAACTTTTTTAAGACTGCAGTACACTTAGCACTGAAGAATATGTACACTCATTAAGTTATTCTTCTTCTTTTGACAAACCGTCCGTATCCCACTGAAGCAGGTGGCCCAAAGAGAAAAATAAAAGTTTCTCTTTTTAACTATAGTAATGCATACAGAAGAAATGGTTACTAGCCCCTTGCTCCTGCCATGTTAGTTGCCTCTTATGACATGCATTGTTATTATAAGTTAAAATTATAATAAAATACTGCACTCTTTTAATTTCAACTAGAAATAAAAAATAGAGTATAAATATAATTATATAAAGCTAAACAATGTAAAAGAGTTACTAATATTAGAAGTAGGCAGAGAGGATGTAGTCAAGTTCCCTTAAAAAGGTAGGGCTGAGTTTTACCATCCTCCATAGAGGTAGGAAAGACATTAAATTGAGGCTTATTATTTCTCAATATAGTATACTTTAGCCAGGTTTGTTTAGCCTTCAGCCTCATTTGTTACCATATGATCACTGTCAGGAGAGAGATATAAAGCCCCAGCACAATGAAACATATACACGATAACATACATGTGATCTGCAACCACAAATAGGAAAGTATAATAAAACATGTGTACTTTACATAATATGAAACCCATGTTCATATAAATTTTGTATTTTCTAAACTAAAGCCTCCCTTCAGTTTTTTCTTTTTAAATTTAGGATGGGTTAGGTTACTATAAAAACAATATATCAAATGGTACTGGTGCTCAAACTCATGTCACAGTATCTGAGGCTATACCTGAAACAAATACAAGAACATATACAATTCTAGCCATAAGCTGCTAAAAAGAAAACTTCACCTATAGTATAGACAGATGTAAACATAAAAGCAGTGACTGAGGCTGAGTAGTTAGCTTCAACTCCAAGAACACTTGTCACATGGGAAATAATTTTCTCACTCTAGTTACATATACCAGCTCCAGAGTTTCAGAATGCTTATATACTAGAAACATTTTACCTACTAATACAAAGGGTTCTAACCTCTAACCTAAGCAATAATATCACAGGCTATGTGCACTGCTTTTATGTTTACATCTATCCTATACTATACGTGAAGTTTTCTTTTTAGCAGCTCATGGCTAGAATTGTATTTGTTCTTGTATCATCTACATCAATGTTGTATTGGTGATGCAAGCCTGGAAGCTCCTTCATCTTACTTTTACTAATTTTACTTTGTGTTTCTTTCATTCACCTAATTACATTTCATAATACAGCCTCTCCTCACTTAGCGATGTACTAGTTTACCGATGCCTCAAACTTACGTCAGGCTCTCTGACCAGTATGCATACCTATATAATGTATAATAGAGCTGGTTTCCTCTATTCTGTTTATTACAGTACACAGTACACTACTGTACAAACATTTAAAAATATACCAGAAATGTTATAAATGGTGCAAGGTAGACATTAAAACAATATTAAAAATAGTTGACACAAACCCACTACCATTATAGCATGGTCTTCATTTAGCAATGAATTTGTTTACCAACGTGTTCTTAGGAACGGAACTCTGTTGTTAAGTGAGGAGAGGCTGTACATGTGAATAGTATAGCATCGTTGATGAGCACTCGTATCTTTGAGGCCTTCAATCCACAAGCTAATACATAATACACAATACTGAAAACCTTGTCGGTGACAAATGGCTTGTTAGGGGAAATTTATAGACTAAGCTCCAAAATCTTATACTAACTATAAAAACTATAAATAACAATAACAGTAGTTAAATTAGAAAATTTTACCACAACCTGGTCATCAGTATATAGATCCACATTCGAAATGGTTCCAATTCGAAAGTTGAATTCATCTTCAATTGTCCAAGACGAAACAAACTTGACATTTTTCTTTTTGCTTAATGTCATTCCTGAGAAAGAGTTTCGTAAATGCTTCACTCCAAAGTCTTCAATCCTCTCGTATATATTTTCAATGTCAACTGTTGAAGAAAGTTTTAGACTTTATTAGTAAACTTTATTTTCTTGTCGAATGTACAAAGTCCTGTAAGGCTGATCAAGGAAAGTAACAATGTGCTAAATTCATGTATGTAAAATTACTGTACAGGAGGGTCCCAATTATATGGCGGATTAAGTTCCAGGCTACCACTGTAAAGCAAAAATCGTCGTAAAGCGAATCATCCCTTTTTTTCACTTTTAACCCTTTCAGGGTCCAAACCCCTGATATGAAACTTGTCCACAGGGTCCAAGAATTTTCAAAAAAAATTTTTGTTATTTTTTCTTATGAAATGGAAGAAAATCTTTTTCTGAAGGTAAAACAAAAAGTATGAAGTTTGATGGAAAATTGATGAAATTACGATCTCACAAATTTTGCTGTGTCAGCGATATTTATGCAATGACGATTCTGCCCACTTTGACTCCCATTTAATTAAGGCTAATTACATTATTCCAGTTGAGCAAATTCTTAGCTATTTCACTAGTATTACCTCTATTTTTATCGACTGAGCACAAGACGTTGCCCAATCAACTATTTCAACTACCCAATAAAGTGATCGGAAATTGGTAATTTGGTCAATTTCAAACAAAGTTCAAAATATTCCAATTGCAAAATAGGGTCCATAATAAACAATGCAGGCATTCCTGGCACTAAAATAACATTTCCTCTGTTCATAGTTACGTTTCCAGGCTTTATAGATGAATTCCACTGAGTTTTTATTCACGTAATGAATTTTTAGTCACACCAAAGAGCAGAAGATTTACTGTTATGCAATACTGTAATAACTGCATAAATAATATCAGCGCATTCATGAACATATATCAGACCCACCAGCTGACATATATTGGACGTGTGACGTCATTTGTTTACTCTTGAACATCGGCAAAAAATCGAACATTTCCGCTACTTTAAGCTCAGTTTCAAGCAATTTTCAGTACTAAAACCAATCAAAATCATCTCTATTCCTGTAATATATCTTCCATTCTATCATATGGAACCAAGAAACCATGACTACAACCCTAAAAAACATACAAAAATACACTGCTAATTCGGCATTTTAATCCAAAAACACAGTCTCAGTTTTTTTTTTTCTTATTATGCACTGCATGCTGCAGGATTTGTTTTATATGGTACACACCACAAAGCTGCATTCTCTCATATCAAGGCCAAATTTACCATTCACAGCTTATCTGAGTGAGCAGAGATCATGGCGTAGAACTACGGCATGAGCCTGGCTTCAAAGCTGTAGACCTACAGGGCGGACCCTCAAAGAGTTAAATGCATATAAATGCCTGATAACATGTTTACACAATCATATATTAAGTGAGCAATAGAACTAATATTAACAAATCAATAAAAAAGTAAAATGCATATAAAGTACACTCATTACTTACCTTAAAATAATTTTGGTCTTAGCTCATACTGAGTAGTATTTACTGCAGGAAGTCAGGAGATGGCACATCTTCATCCTATGACTCAACGAATTTTATTCGTTTTGATGTTAGCAATAAGGTTATCAAGATTCCTTTTTAATCACAACTACCCTTAGATGTCGTAACACAAAAATAGTATAAATAATATATGTAATAACTTTGAAACACTTGAAACTTTGGAAAGTTTCCAGACGGAATCGAGAGAGATACAAAGTTCATGGCAACACACCAAGGTTCACTTGTATAAATGCAGATTATCATTATTATTAGTATTATTATTATAAAACACTCTGAGGAGGTTGCTCCATAGTTGAGTAGTAGATCAGTGTTTTGGATGGGCAGTCGGATGGGCATGTATTAATACCTGTTCACTGGCCACTGACATGTGCCCATACAACATTAAGTATGCTTTTGTGGAGCGTTTTCCCCACAACACAAGCACCTTACATCAGTGGCGTCGTAAGGGGGGAGGCGGGGGGGCCGCCCTGGGTGACACCATTTAGGGGGTGACACCATAGAACTTCTAAAGAAGGTGACACTAATGCCCAAAACAGTGCTGCACCAACATAAGAGAAGAATCCTTCATTTCTATACAGCCTATATAGGCCTATATAGGGAAAATCATTTATTTTGATGATGTGATAGATGATTTTGCAGGCTTGAAGGCAAGGAAATGTAAGATCAGATTCACTGAGATGTTAACTGTACTCAAGGTCAAATCAGAACTAGTGTTTTTCTGATATTGCAATGTTTTTCTTTATTTTTCAATTTTTTTTTGGGGGGGGGGCATTGTTGAAGATGAATAAATGTAGGATCTGTTGCCTGTACTCAAAGTGGTATTTGAGTTTATGTTTCCTCAATATTACTAAAATTATTTATTTTATCATTAATAAAGTTGAGAAGTATTCTCCTGTTCAGTCTATGGCCCTTAAACGGTCTCATTGCTAAACATTAGTTACTGGGCATGCAGTACTGACGTAACTGGAGTTTACTACCCCCCATTCCCCCGTCCTTGGATTGCATGAGGGTGACACCAAAGATGCTACCCCGGGTAACACCCAAGATTCTGCCCCAGTGACACCAACCCTAGTAACGTCTCTGCTTTACATTGTGTACAAGTTGTCTTCACACTGGTGCAGAAGCCTCTATAACAGCAACACTCCCAGGTTCATGCAACATATCCCTTTGAGAGCAAGTGACACTATTTGCGTGAAGGCATATGAAAGGAGTGTTTTTCTAGTTACCTCGCAGTAATATAAACAGTTTCTCTGGTGGTATTGGACTAGAAGGAACATCTTATTGTAATTCTTGTCGAACACTCCAACAAGCCGCCTGGCTACCACTCCTCACAATTGCCAGTTTGTTCAAGTATGAGTGTATTATGATTATATAACATGTAGTGTGTTTCTTACATAATTTTGAAAAAAATGTCATAGATGGATTAATAAAAATGTCTATCATAATATACAACATTTAACCCATTGACTGTTTACGATGTATAAATACGTCTTACGAGCCAATGTTTCTGACGTATTTATACGCACAAATTCTAGCGGCTTCAAATCAAGCGGGAAAGGCCTGGTAGGCCTACATGAGAGAGAATGGGTCTCAGTGGTCGGTGTGCACCCTGTGAAAAGAATCTGGGACCAAGCGGTGCATTGTGGAAACGCCATCTTGTTAGTCCATTTTCACCATGCCTCTCGGTAAGAAGTTCCTCACTTCTCGGCGGATTGGAGGTCTTTTGTTCCCAAGTGATAGCTCTAACAGCGATGAAAATGTCAGTGACAGTGAATTCCAGGGTTTTGAAGTGAGTGTTACCGGAAAAAGTGCCCAGGATAACGTAATTAGTGATGAAAACCCAGATGACCCACAACCTTCCACCTCTGGTGCTGGGCCGGCTTGTTCACGTTCATGTTCGCCTGTACCATGACGAAAGAGGAAACTATTTGGTAGTGTACAACACCCAGATGATAGCAGTGAATGTGATAGTGATAGTGATTTCAAGGTCATTGAAAGCAGTTCTAGTGACAGTGAGGGTGAATATTCCCCAGTGAAGTGGCAGTATGTACGACGTAGCATGCGGTCTGGTAGTGTTTCATATGTTGTTCCAAGGGGAAGGAGAAACTCTGGGAGCACATCCCGTGGCCCTACACCACGACCTGATAGTGAAGATGACGATATTGTAACGATGGGTATGAATGATGTGAGTGAGGGAGCAGGCAGTGGTGGTGATAGTGGGGTGGCCCAGGGCCCAGTGGACCATCTCGGGTCACGATCCCCACGCTGTGACTTGCACAAAACCCCGCCTCCCCCGACCCCCCTCCCAAAACCCTGCCTCCCAACCTGCGCAACCAAAAACCGCACAACCACAACCCGGTACAATACCCAGACCCCACCAGCGACCGATCTGGGATGGCAGGACGGTGACGAGTTTTTTTCCCCGTCCCTGCTTTGAAATAAACACAAAGGGGAAATTTAAAAAGCCATTATGTCATTTGGGAAAAATGCCAGTGAACGGGACTGTTTTGGTTATTCTTCCTGAACCCGTGGACATCATTGTCAGGGAAAAAAACAAAACAACTGTGTTTAAACCCCCATGGCAATCAATTCTTCACCCAAATCAGGGGCTACACAAGTGGAAGGAGAAAACTGGGGCGAATGACCTGTTTTTTCCCCACAAAAATTTCTTTTGCCAATGTGATAAGCACAATGTCACCCATACGGGACAGAACGCTGATTTCAATCCAGGTTTTGTGACATAGGTGTCATTTTCCCTGATACTGTTCGTTGTTACACTTTTCAGAAAAAACCCAGGCCTGACAAAAGCGAAGGTTATAAGAAAAGAAATGTGTTTATGTCCCCTGAAAAAAAAGTGCCCTGCATGTATTTTTATCCTTTTTGGGGAAGTTGTTATTGATGAGTCTTGTTTTTATTCAAAGGAAGACTCTCATTCAAGAAATATTCCAAAGCAAGGGGAAACGTTTTGGGTTAAAAACCCTATTTGTATGTGTGATTGCAGAAGTGGTCTAGTTTTGGATTCATTGTGTACACGGGCGTAATACTTTGGAGATCCCATGAAGTTATTGGGTATCTCTGGTGATGGGGTTCGAAAATGAGGAACCATATTTGGAAAGGGGCTATGTTTTTTTACTGATAACTGGCACAAAACCCCTTACTAAATTTGATTTCTTGCGAGTGAATTAAAGAGTGTGTGGCACAGGCGTGTATCGTAAACATATGCAAAGGTTCGACGCTGGCCCTCGCAGAGGTGAGGTGCAAGCCTTCGGCCAATGAAATATGGCATTTGGTGGCATGACAAACGTGATGTCACATTTTGACATCAGTTCCCCGAAATGAAATGGTACACAGTGGAGGCACAAAGAGAGACCCAAAGAACCCCTTTAAAGCCTGCAGCTGTCATGGACTACAACCCCCAATACCGGGTTAGGGAAAATGTGCATGCAGATTGGGTTTTCAGACTGGTATGCAGAGTTATAAGTGGTATATAAAATTTTTTTTTATCTTGTTGTATTCTATGCTGAATGCTTATAAATATCAAATTTAAGAAAAAAAAACACCAAATATGGTGAATTTTGCTTTTTCAGAAACAGACAAATAATTGCAAAGTACCAAGGAGGCAACCCTGCAAAAGACCAGCGCCCACAAAAATTTCCCAAACAAAGTCATCCGTTTCAGGGCCGGTGATCACTACCCCTGAATCCTCCTACTTGCCAAGAAAAATGTCAGAAAAAAGGGGGGTTATGTAGTATGCTACCACAAAACGCCCACAAAAGCCGAGACATCGTTTTATGTGTGAGGGTGCAGGGCCCCTTGCATATCCTGTTTCAAAAAGTTCCCCAAGCTGCAGAGTTCTAGGAACGTGTTTTAGTGTTTTACTTGTATATATTTATGGAACAAAAGTAATAAACATTGTTTTGTATTGCTTGTTTGTGTAAACAAAGTGTATACACAAACTAATAGTGATAAAGTTTGTTCTGTTACTGTGTTGTAAACAATGAGTGTATATTTGAAGAATGCACCTTACATTGGTCTCACAGGCCACATAAGTTACCTGGAACAGAAAAATATTGAAAAATGCAAGAAACCTTTGAATTAGAGTAAATAAAAGAATGTAGATGAATGGTTCAGAGAACCGACATGTTGATAAATTAGACACGTGTCTAATTTATCAAATAAAAGAACACCGGGTGGGCGACAGTCGCCGCTGTTGCCGTACACACGTCCCTTTCTGCAAACTTTGCGGCTCTATATCTTGGTAAGTACTGATGGCAAAAATTTTTTTAGGCTTAAAACACTCAGAAAAATATTCCTAACATTTTCATAAGAAAAAATAATTTTTTTTTTTTCGAATATTTGGCGACATAAAATGACAGTTTCAGAGAGGGGCCTGAAACAGTCAAAGGGTTAAAGCTCCCCAGAGCAGTTATTATTATGCTTCAACACTAGTGAGACACTTTTAACCATTTCTTCACCTGGCATAGCTACTCTCACTTTATAACAATGCCCAATAGTGATTTTAATGTACTTGCACACCAGCACAGTGTTTAAGTTTATTTACGTATGGTTACACATAAGTACATCTTTTTTTTTTAATACATCGGCCATTTCCCACCCAGGCAGAGTGACCCAAAAAGAAAGAAAAGCCCAAAAATGAGAGAAAAATACTTTCATCATCATTCAACACTTTCACAATCACTCATGCATAACCACTGTCTTTGCAGAGGCACTCAGATACGACAGTTTAGAAGTCCCTCCAAACTGTTAATATCCCCAACCCCTCCTTGAAAGTGCAGGCACTGAACTTCCCATTTCCAGGACTCAAGTCTGACTAACCAGTTTCCCTGAATCCCTTCACAAAATATTACCCTACTCACACTCCAACAGCTCGTCAGGCCCCAAAAACCATTCGTCTCCTTTTACTCCTATCTAACACGCTCACACATGCTTGCTGGAAGTCCAAGCCCCTCGCTCACAAAACCACCTTTACCCCCTCCCTCCAACCTTTTCGAGGATGACCCCTACTCCGCCTTCCTTACCCTACAGATTTATACGCTCTCCAAGTCATTCTACTTTGATCCATTCTCTCTAAATGACCAAACCACCTCAACAACCCCTCTTCAGCCCTCTGACTAATACTTTAGTAACTTCACATCTCCTCCTCCTAATTTACACACTCCAAAGTCTCTGCATAATATTTACACCACACATCGCCCTTAGACATGACATCTCCACTGCCTCAAGCTGCCTTCTCGTTGCAGCATTTACAACCCAAGCTTCACACCCATATAAGAGTGTTGGTACCACTATACTTTTGTACATTCCCTTCTTTGCCTCCTTGGATAACGTTTTTTATCTCCACAGATACCTCAATGCACCACTCACCTTTTTTTCCTTCATCAATTCTATGGTTAACCTCATCTTTCATAAACCCATCTACTGACAAGTCAACTGCCAAATATCTGAAAAGATTCACTTCTTCCAGACTCCCTCTCCAATGTGATATCCAAATTTTATCTAAATCATTTGATACCCTCATCACCTTACTCTTATCTATGTTCCTTTTCAACTTTCTACCTTCACACACCCTCCAAACCTCATCCACTAACCTTTGCAACTTTTCTTTAGAATCTCCCAAAAGCACAGTATCATCAGCAAAAAGTAAGTATGCCAACTCCCATTTTGTACTTGATTCCCCATAATTTAATCCCACCCCTTTCCCCAACACCCTAGCATTTACCTCTTTTAAAACCTCATCTATAAATATATTAAACAACCATGGTGACATTATACATCCCTGTCTAATACCCACTTTTACCGGAAAGTAATCTCCCTCTCTCCTACACACCCTAACCTGAGCCTCACTATCCTCATAAAAACTCTCTACAGCATTTAGTAGCTTACTACCTATTCCACAGACTAACATCTGTCACATTGCTTCCCTATCCACTCTATCATATGCCTCTTCTAAATCCATAAATGCAATGAAAACTCCCTTACCTTTATCTAAATACTGTTCACATATATGCTTCAATGTAAAGACTTGATCTACACATCCCTACCCACTCTAAGCCTCCTTGCTCAATCTGCAATCCTACTCTCTGTCTTCCCTCTAATTCTTTTAATAATAGCCCTACCACACACTTTACTTTATAAGTACATATGATTATCAGTACTATATCAGTCCTTCCTTGGCCACAGACATACCTTGCTCACCAAGTTTAATCATTTCTAACTTTGCACTTCAAAGTCTTATGGCTCCTCTTTTTATTACAACTATCCTTAGATGTCACTGCAACACATAGAGTATATATAAATATGTAATAAGTTAGAACACTTGAAACTTTGGAAAGTTTCCAGACAGAATCGAGAGAGAGACAAGAGCTCACAGAGAATGTAAATAAACTGAGAGAAAAGACGATGACGATTTGGGACGCCAGCTGGAAGCTCAGAGCCGCGACAGCGAATCAGGAGCTGTATAAACAAATTTTTGGGTATAATTTGAAACATCTGTATTAGCGAAGTGCCAAGAAGCAAAGCACTGTAACCTGGGGGCCCTCCTGTACATAATTTTTGTCTCAGATATAGCCTATAACTACTGATTTACTACATCTACCTCAGTAATGATGCTATTTTACAGCATTTTTAGTATTATTATTTTATTTGGATTTCAGCATAACCTGATACTTAAATATTAACCTGGCAGTTTCTGAAATTCAGAATTTGGTAAAACTATATATGCTGATAAAAGCCAAAAAATGTTTAAGAAATTACAAGATGAATTTAAAAGAATGCTTACATTTTATACACTTTTCCAATACAATTTTCATTTTATATGGATAGTATTAGCCCTAACTTCAGGGTGCCTTAAATACTATGCATAACTGCAAGATCTTCCTATGTAAGAAATATTTGTAACTCTAATGAATCTGGTAACACAGGTCACCAGAAGTAAAGCTATATTAACACAGCTTTACTTCTCAGACACTTGCAGCAGGTAGTGGTCAAGCTTCCTCTTCCCCTATTCCTACTCTTCCTAATTTCTCCCTTTCAAGAGGCTTGGCAGATGACAAAATATTCTCAATGAAAAAGTAGGAGTGTCTAACAAAGCACTCAAGGCATTTAAACCAAAGAAAGGGACCTAGAAATCAGCACTGACAAAAGACTGCCACCTAAATTTCAAAAGCAAAATAGTGAAAAACCCTGTGATACTGGCCAATTTTAGAATATCAATCAGAAACATGAATGTAGAAATGTTAAAAAAGCTGTTAGACCAAAATTGAAATATACAGGGGTAGTACGGAGTTGATCTAAAGCAAAAATAAAAAATTTTTAAAAAAAAATTTCAGAGACAAGCTAAGAAATGCCTCCCAAAGCAAAAAATTTATGATCAGAAAAAGACTTACACATTAGAATGCAATCGTTGACTGATAAAAGGAAGGGGAAAACATTAAAACACTTTCAAGATTAAAAAAGATATAAAAGAATTAAAAGGGAACTTCTTAACTTGTAAAGGGGTATAAAACCCCCCAATACAGACTAAGGAAGAAGAGCTGCAGATACTAGAAAAGTTTTCTTTTAAAAAGTGTTGTTTAATGGAATGGTTTACAAAAAAAAAAAGGGTTAAGAACTAAAAACCACTAAAAGTTTTAAAAAATTTGTTATGACATACAAAATACAGTATGAAGATAAAAAAGAATAATTAACGGGGTATAAAAGGGGGGAGCTTGTTCCCTAATATTCCCTACAAAAAAACTATTTAATTGACAGAGCAATAAAATAAAACCTTGCTGTCAGTAGGGTATATTTTATCTTAAACCCTATGTAAGGAATCAACAACCTAGCAGAGGAGAATTTTTTCGGGGACGTTTTTTCTATTACGGCCAGAAATTCCATGGCGCAACTTAAAAAAAAAATAAGAATCCCTGCTTTAATAATGGTTTTTACTATGATACAAAATGCTGAAATTGTATAATAAAATTTAAAAGTATTGCAAAAAATGGTCACTAACCTGAATAGTTCCCCGATGAACAATGCTAGGGGTTTGGCGGAATCTCTTGGCACAATGTTCCGAATTACATTACTTTGGCGAGCGGCCATCAGCAATCAATATTCCCCTCTTCCCGGTGTCTTTAGAATAAAAAAGAAAAAATACTCAAGTCAGCATTTGCAGGGAAAAAAAGTGTAGTCGACAGTTTAATTGGGTTAATTTGCACCTATACCCAACTATGGGCAGAAATCAAAAAAATTTTAAAAAAAGGCACATAATTGGTCCAGGGAGGCCCCAAAAATTGATAGCTAATAAGTTCAGTTGTAATGAAATGTTTGTATTTGCTTGTTTTTTATCTGGTTAGTAAAGGGACCTATTGGACTATTTAAATTTGTTAGTGGTCATGTGAATGTTGTTAGCTAGTGTTAAATGAATTGTAACATATTTGAAAGTATACATAATGGTTTTTTTGCCTTTTTTTAGTATTTTTCAACTTCCTTTTTAAAGTATTTTCAGGGGGCTTCCTTACAAATGTAATGATAAAATTTTGCAAAGGCCCCTGTTCAGAAATTCTTTTTGTTTTTAAAATTAGGATGAACTCGAAAGGTGAATGTTGGCTGAAACTGGAAAAAAAAAAATTAGGTAATACTCATATAATTGTAAACATTATCATATAAGAATTTCACACTCTGTCATCATCAAATTATGAGGCACCTTTCTTGAATATTCAGTGTGAAGCTATGCCACTAAGGATTCTGGAAGTTATCTGAGCCATTCGAGGATGCTGGGAATGCATCTTACAATTTTGGTCACAGGGCACGTGAACATACCAATTGTTCAAAGAATCTGGTCTGTAATAAACTCCTGAGTAACATTATTGAAGCTAAAATCTTATCTAGTTTTAAAAAATAGGCTAGACTAGTACACGAATGGGTGTGGTTGGGTGTGAGCTGGACTTGCCTAGCTTGGGTTACTAGGCCTGCAGCAGTGCTCCTTCCTTCTTATGAGTGGGTGAGACTTCAACATGCCTAGCATGGGCCAGTAGGCCTGCTGCAGTGCTTTCTTTATGTTACAATGAGTGATTTAACAGTTTATGAAAAGGTTAAATATTACATTCATGTGGGAATGTTAAACCCACAGGGGTTATACAGTGCCTGAGAAAATGGGAGGCATTCAAGTTCAATCCAAGGAAGAGAAAAGCAGATCCAATTCCTTGGATCAAGAGCCCCTCCTTTGAGGGGCACAGATTAAATAAAAAGCCCCCTAGTCATGCATAACATTTTTGGTAAGCACACTACTGTGAAATGTTAGATTTTCCTGATTACTACAAAATTCTTTTTCCTTTTTTTGAGTATTTTCTTAGATAGCCTTCATTTTAAACACTAACTTTAGACACAACACTGCACTCTTATTAAATCTCTCAGCCTACTCAGCAAATAGCATTTACTCATTAAGATCCTCTGCCTTATATTGCACTTCATGAAGTGCCAAACTTGTATGGGTCATTCAGTGCAAGGAGTGGTAGAAGTTTAATCTTCCATCTACTAATTGCACCCAAACAAGTGACCAGTCAGGCTGTTGATGATCACACTTCAGGATCCTGAATCGGAATACAGTACCGTACTAACGCAGACTTCATCGCAAGCTTCAACATAACCCAATGCCATCACACCACAAAATATATGTATAAATAAAGGAGCCAAAAATTTTCCATCACTGGCTGTTGTGTATCTTTCCTGTTATTGTCTGATTGTAAGTAGTGTTTATTTTAGAGATTTTAGGTTTTCATGTATAAATTGTATCAGTGGCAGCTCGTGTATAGGCATTGCAGAACTGCAGCACTCCCCTATGTTCGCTCGATATTATCGATAACATTCAATATAATGAGTCTTTTTTTCTTTAATTCTTTCTTTATACTTGTACATATAATCCTTAAGCCTAATGTCAGTAGCCATCCCTAGTACATGAAAAAATTACAAAAATCCTTGTATGGAACTGTGCCCTTAACAGTTCCAGCGACTCGGTGTTTGACTGTTGTGCGCATGTGCACATGTCTGAAATAAGTCACTGCACACTGAGCAGAGAGAGCACAATTGCAAGAGTAAGGTAGTGTTTCTTTTTGACTCAGCGATGTGTGTTGTGTTTAAAAACCACATACGATATTCTTGAATGTGATAAAGTGTAGAATTAGATAATTATCATGCTTCCAGCTACTTTATTTAATTCATAGTTTTTTTACGGTTCTTTTATTTTACACAGTATTAAAATAATGGCTAAAAAACTTTTGAAGCAGCACGTCCACTAATTTTAGCTACGAGCCACCACTGAATGGTATACAATACTGACAAGTAAATGAGGTTAATTATTAAAATTACTTATATCTATACTTATATTTTATATATTACTAGTAACTCATGCTCCCAGTTTTCTAAATGGGAAAAGCTATTGATAATTTTAAATTACTGTACTCACTATTTGGCTGATTTTATTTTGAAGAACAGGCTATGCCAAAAGAAACTAGATAATGCAGTTCTACACTCAAAATTCCTCAGGAGCAAAAACTCAGAATCTCTCTTAATTTTGAACAGTTATTACAAACACATAAAATCTTAAATCTACATTAGTGTATCTGATTTTTTATGGAAAATAACTAGCCTGAGGTTAAACAGTTTTATATAATAAACAAGACAATGAAAAATTAGATGAAATATGTTTTGCTTTCTACAATTACCTCCATAGATGTATCAAATTGAACTGACAATAGAAGTTGTTCATCGTGTAATCTGTCTGTTATATATCTAGGCAACTCAGCATCTGTAGCAATTCGTGCTGGATACTGATATTGCACCTGCAATGAAGATAAACAAAATAATTTTAATAACATAAAATTAAATCTTCTTCTTTCAACGCACTGGCATTATCCCAAGTAGGGTGGCCCTAAAAGAAAAACAAAAAGTTTCTCTTTATAAATTTAGTAATGTATACAGGAGAAGGGGTTACTAGTCCCTTGTTCCTGGCATTTTAGTCGCCTCTTACGACATGCATGGCTTATGGAGGAATTCTTTTCTACTTCCTCATGGAGATGAGAGGAAATAAACAAGAAGAACCAGTAACTAGGTAGTAGGTTGGTAGACAGCAACCACTCAGGGAGGTACTACCGTCCTGCCAAGCAAGTGTAAAACAAAAGCCTGTAATTGCTTTACATGATGGTAGGATTGCTGGTGTCCATTTTTTTGTCTCATAAACATGCAAGGTTTCAAGTACGTCTTGCTACTTCTACTCACACTTAGGTCACACTACACATACATGTACAAGCATATATATACACACCCCTCTGGGTTTTCTTCTACTTTCTTACTAGTTCTTGTTCTTGTTTATTTCCTCTTACCTCCATGGGGAAGTGGAACAGAATTCTTCCTCTGTAAGCCATACGTGTTGTAAGAGGCGACTAAAATGCCAGGAGCAAGGGGCTGGTAACCCCTTCTCCTGTATATATTACTAAATGTAAAAGGGGAAACTTTCATTTTTTCTTTTGAGCCACCCTGCCTTGGTGGGATACGGCCAGTGTGTTGAAAGAAAGAACCAGTAAGAAAAAAGAAAATCCAGAGGGGTGTTTATATACATGCTTGTACATGTATGTGTAGTGTGACCTAAGTGTAAGTGGAAGTAGCAAGACGTACCTGAAATGTTGCACTTTTATGAGACAGAAACAAGACACCAGCAATCCTGCTATCATGTAAAACAACTACAGGCTTCCATTTTACACTCACTTGGCTGGACGGTAGTACCTCCCTAGGCGGTTGCTGTCTATCAACCTACTACCTAAGATAAAATTAAATATCACAGGAAAAACAGTGACTGAATGAATGATAGTTAAGTCTTTTCCTCTTTGTTGGGTCACCCTACTTCTGTGGGAAATGGCCAAGGTGTATCCATGGTTTAGTGACCCAAAAGTGCCTCTTAATTTTGCATAATAATGGCCCCATAATGCAAAAGTACAAAGGTTGGCAATTCTTCAAAGCCTAAGTCGTGAACTGCTTTCCATCGGCGGGAAAGTGATAATTCTCCACTTATTGAGTATAATTTGTCAATCAAACTTTATAAAAGGTATGTATAAGATTTTTTTTTATTATTATCACACTGGCCGATTCCCACCAAGGCAGGGTGGCCCGAAAAAGAAAAACTTTCACCATCATTCACTCCATCACTGTCTTGCCAGAAGGGTGCTTTACACTACAGTTTTTAAACTGCAACATTAACACCCCTCCTTCAGAGTGCAGGCACTGTACTTCCCATCTCCAGGACTCAAGTCCGGCCTGCCGGTTTCCCTGAATCCCTTCATAAATGTTACTTTGCTCACACTCCAACAGCACGTCAAGTATTAAAAACCATTTGTCTCCATTCACTCCTATCAAACACGCTCATGCATGCCTCCTGGAAGTCCAAGCCCCTCGCACACAAAACCTCCTTTACCCCCCTCCCTCCAACCTTTCCTAGGCCGACCCCTACCCCGCCTTCCTTCCACTACAGACTGATACACTCTTGAAGTCATTCTGTTTCGCTCCATTCTCTCTACATGTCCGAACCACCTCAACAACCCTTCCTCAGCCCTCTGGACAACAGTTTTGGTAATCCCGCACCTCCTCCTAACTTCCAAACTACGAATTCTCTGCATTATATTCACACCACACATTGCCCTCAGACATGACATCTCCACTGCCTCCAGCCTTCTCCTCGCTGCAACATTCATCACCCACGCTTCACACCCATATAAGAGCGTTGGTAAAACTATACTCTCATACATTCCCCTCTTTGCCTCCAAGGACAAAGTTCTTTGTCTCCACAGACTCCTAAGTGCACCACTCACTCTTTTTCCCCTCATCAATTCTATGATTCACCTCATCTTTCATAGACCCATCCGCTGACACGTCCACTCCCAAATATCTGAATACGTTCACCTCCTCCATACTCTCTCCCTCCAATCTGATATTCAATCTTTCATCACCTAATCTTTTTGTTATCCTCATAACCTTACTCTTTCCTGTATTCACCTTTAATTTTCTTCTTTTGCACACCCTACCAAATTCATCCACCAATCTCTGCAACTTCTCTTCAGAATCTCCCAAGAGCACAGTGTCATCAGCAAAGAGCAGCTGTGACAACTCCCACTTTGTGTGTGATTCTTTATCTTTAACTCCATGCCTCTTGCCAAGACCCTCGCATTTACTTCTCTTACAACCCCATCTATAAAATATATTAAACAACCACGGTGACATCACACATCCTTGTCTAAGGCCTACTTTTACTGGGAAAAAATTTCCCTCTTTCCTACATACTCTAACTTGAGCCTCACTATCCTCGTAAAAACTCTTCACTGCTTTCAGTAACCTACCTCCTACACCATACACTTGCAACATCTGCCACATTGCCCCCCTATCCACCCTGTCATACGCCTTTTCCAAATCCATAAATGCCACAAAGACCTCTTTAGCCTTATCTAAATACTGTTCACTTATATGTTTCACTGTAAATGTATAAGATTATATATGCAAAACAACCCCTCTGAAAGAATAGAGAAATTCCAAGCGCTTTCGTGACCACTCACATTATCAAGGAACTATGAAAGTGAAGCATCCAAGGAAGCTATATAAGGGGTCCGGCCAGCACCTCACTATCAGATCCCACAACGGTTAAACACGTGACGCGCGGCGAGCCAACTTGGATAGGTCCTTTGCACAACTCACCCCCAAGCTATTCTACCCAAGAAAATTTAAAAATTATTTGTCCAGTGTATTATTAAATTCTTCCCAAATTCTATTAATTATAAATGGATCTAATTTATATAAACCAAAGGAAATATTCATATTATTGTCAAAACTGCTTTTTATGAAACAAGATTCAATTATATTCCTGTCGACCATGGACTTGCTTGATACTACTTTCTCAACTTTTTGAAAATCAAGCAAGTCCATGGTCGACAGGAATATAATTGAATCCATTTATAATTAATAGAATTTGGGAAGAATTTAATAATACACTGGACAAATAATTTTTAAATTTTCTTGGGTAGAATAGCTTGGGGTGAGTTGTGCAAAGGACCTATCCAAGTTGGCTCGCCGCGCGTCACGTGTTTAACCGTTGTGGGATGTGATAGTGAGGTGCTGGCCAGACCCCTTATATAGCTTCCTTGGATGCTTCACTTTCATAGTTCCTTGATAATGTGAGTAGTCACGAAAGCACTTGGAATTTCTCCATTCTTTCAGAGTGGTTGTTTTGCATATTTTGAAATCACCTGTTCACTGTAATCTTATTGCAAGATTATATATATATATAGGGTTTGCTACTATCCACGGTTTTGGTATCCATGGTGGGTCCTTGAAAAGTATCCCACAGATACAGGAGTCCTACTGTATTTTAATTGGATGAGAAACAACACAGGATAATAGTACATGGATAATGAGGATTTTTTACAAAATTACAAGTGATATGTGGTTGTAGACAAATGTAGTTACTAAGACTTGATAGTAATTATACAATAAACTCCTGCTGGTGTGTATAATTCCTTAAAATTACTTTTAAGAGATTATAATTAATACAGCCTCTCCTCACTTAATGACGGAGATAGGGATCTAAGACCCTGTCGGTAAACGAATTCATCTCTAAATGAGGAGCATACTATAATGGTAGTGGATTTGTGTCAAACATCTTTGATATTGTTTTAATGTCACCTTTACACCATTTATAACATTTCTGGTATATTTTTAAATGTTTATATAGCAGTGTACTGTATATTGCAATAAACAGAATTGAGGAAATCAGCTCTAATATACATTATTTAGGTATAAATACTGGTCAGAGAGCCCGTCGTAAGTCCGAGGTGTCGGTAAACGAGTACGTCGCTAAGCGAGGAGAGGCTGTATACTACACAGTACAACTCTAGCATAACAGCAATAATCAAATTAGCTATTTAAAGAATGAAAATACAAGAATTCTGCCTGTAGCTACAAATACTGAAGATGGGACATATCAACAGAGCTCAGCACCAGTACCTACAGTAAGTATAACCACAAGCAGGTGAGCCTTACACTGTCCTACTGTGTACTGTACAAATTAAGATCTCTGAAACAGCCTAGCTATACCTCAAAAAGCATAACTCCACTACTTTCAACATGTATATTAACTCTGAATATAGTACAAATTTACTACTGGTATACCTTTTTACTATGACTAAAAAAATAGTACTGCAATAAAGCATGACTTAGCAATGATGGATACCACTAGCAAGGGTAAAAAATGTCTTATTAAGAAAAGCAACAAGACAATTTTTCAAGAGCACATCTTAATTATCTTGGGAGGTTGTGTACTACACTAAGACTGACCAAAAACAAAATGCGCAAATATAAAATTAGAGGTGAAGAGTGTGATTATAATAAGGTTCCCACATTAATTCAGGCTCAAAAAAAAATATTCATTTCTACCTAGGAACACATTACTTTACTACATACAGAATTTGTGAAATTTTTACTAGCTGGACTTTACCTGTTCAGACCAGGTTAATTTATTTCTTGCAGACACAACTTCATCACACACTGCCTTCATCTTCCACCGAAATTCATTCACCTCAGGATTTTTGAGGGCATCAAATTTCTGGAGTTCTGAAATGAATAACAACTGAAGCTCATAAATCCAGCTTGTCTTTGGTTTTTATTATTAGGATGTCCTACCTTGGTGGGATATGGCAGGATTGTTAAAAAAAAAAATAACCATTTGTAAATGATCAAAAACACTAGAATAAACTAGAGGATTTCTCTGTCTACAATCCAGTATATCAATCTCTCAATGTGTGTGAGAAATGCATTCCTGTTATGTACAGTACCATCCAAGGAAAACTATGAAAAAAGATATTGTGCTATTATAAGCCAAATGTTGTACAAATAGTCTGTATAACAGATATGGTAAATAAAATGAGAAATTCCAGATTTGTGTTTCAAGAACTGAGAGCTTTAAAGAAGACTACACACACCCTCAACAGCCAACTGTGATGGTGGAGAGTAATACAATACCTACAACCTAAATATGGAAAAATTACTGCTGAGTATATATGCAAATTAACATATGCTGCACTGAATATTTCTGGAAGTTTGCAATGATACTGTACAGTAGTAAGCTAGGTATTGGCCATTGGCTGAGCCTCTCCTATACAGGTTATAGATACAACAATACCTTTGGCTTCTGGGAAAAATAAAATATATACATGGAGTGAGTGATGATGAAAGTGCTCCTTCTGCTTCGGGTCACCTTGCCTTGGTGGGAGACAGCTGATGTTTTTAAAAAAAAAAAACAATCAAATCAAAATTACCTCTAGATTCCTCACATCTGCTGACAGCCGACACAGAAAACAGCTGATTTACTCCAGTCAATAGGGTAAAAGTACACCACAACACTTATGACAGGGGATATATTAAACTAAACTTTGGGAGTGAACATATACCCCTTGTGTTATGACCTAGGTCAATCTATGGCTGGTAATTTATGATACAAAACATACAGTATCTAAAAAAAACTAACTGAAACACTAATCTATTAAATTCCCTTCTTTGGTATAGCTCAACAATTCTTAATTCAGTGTAGTTAGTGATGATCACCACTAACTGAAAATGAACTATGCAGAAAGGTGTAATTAACACTACATCTTAAGTGAAAAATAAAAATCTAATATATAAACTAGCATGCAATATGCATTTCACCAATTACCATATACAGGTACCATCCGACTTATGACCGAGCTTGGTTCCGACCAACCGGTTGTAAGTCGAAATGAACGTAAGTCAAACCTTACTACTAAATATCAACATCACATGTTGATATTCTTTATTTTATTGTTTTATTTTGGTATTTCATTTTTCACTTTACTTTTTATGCTTTTAGTACTGTATTTTATACTGTAAGGTTTAGAATAAACACTGTGTACAACACAAACAGTTGTTTATTTCCCAGAAATTTGGCATAAAAAACACGGCCGTAAGTCAAGTGGTCATACGTCAAGCAGGTCGTAAGTAGGATGGTAGGTGTATTACACTGTGTATTAATATACAAACAATTACAATTGCAGCATTATATTCTTCGTACCTTTACCAATTAACTGGCCAATCTGGAGATTAAGTAATTTTTCAGTTTCATTGCCTTTCCTTTCAACCAATTTTAAAATCCACATGAAGGGATTGATCTCCTGCAAACACTTGGTTTCGTCCATCAACTCCACAGTTTCTGCCCGTTGGCTGATACATGCAAAGTGGTAGGATGAGAGGTCGTGGAGAGTCCCAAACAGAGGAAATTCGCTGGCACGTTCCCATAGTTCCTGAAAAAAATGAGCCTAGGTTAAGCACCAATTAGTGTGGCTAGTAAATGAATGGACCATATGGACAGCCACTGCCTTAGCTATGAGGCCAGGGTCCTGGCCTCTGTCACCCAGCTGGGAGGACTGTTCCACGCATCTACAACTCTGTTAGACATAGACATAGGTAAGTACTGGTTTTCTAACAGAGTTGTAGATGTGTGGAGGGGTCTTCCCGGTGGGGTGTGGGGGGTTTGGGCCCTTGGGTGGTTTGGGAAGAGAGGGGAAAAATATATGGGGGGGTGGGAGGGGCTGGGTTTGTTGGGTAAAGGGGGGGGTACGGGAGTTATTTCTTGAGTAGCTTGGTAGATGTCGTTTTGATAAGGACCTGCCTCGTATGGGCCAGTAGGCCTTCTGCAGTGTTCCTACATTCTTATGTTCTTATGTTCTTATGAATCGTAGGTTTTCTGTCCCTGACAGGGTATACAGTACCTTACAAAAGTAACAAATATAAATTTGAAAGTAAAATGACTGTTATGCTTACAGTGTAATAATATCTAGTGTAGAAATTGATAAATGAATAAATTGAAAAATTACATGGAGTGCACAGGATTCATACCTTGTGTCAGTTAGAATATGTAACTTGTTGATGGGCTTAATTTTCTTGTAATTTAACACATGTCAATTTAAATAATGTAGTTTACTGGGATAATGTGCTTGTTTCCTTGAGTGCTGCTTTGCTTAACATTAGGTTTTTCAATAATGTATCCCCATTATTATGTGAGGTATGCTTATAGTGTTATACCATACCTAAGGTACAAAAATCAAGACCTGAAGCACTACACCACATTTTAGGGAAAGAAAATATTTATAGTACTCAAATACAGGCATACCTCACTAATACAGTGGATTAGGTTCCAGAGGACTGCCATAAAGTGAATCACAGCCTTTTTTTCACTTGCCAGTACATAAAAAACTAAAATCATGGCTTGCAACTCTTCTTTTCATTAGTATTAAACTTATGGGCCATTGTACTGTAAATAATAATTACCATAACAATAACACAAAGTTTTATAAAATTTTAAAATTGCAAAAAACACGACACTGAGGAATAAAGGACACAAATGCTGTAAATAGACTGAGCGCAGGTAATAAAATGGTACCCGCAACTCGCTTTATTCGCTCGGGAAACCGCTGAAGTCAGTCACCACGAAAAACTATCTTGAGAACAAGGGGAAACGCTGAAAAAAATAAACATAAACCACTGCCTCGTGGGAGCGGTGACTTGTTTTAAAAAAAAAAAAAAAAAAAAAAAAAAAAAAAAAAAAAAAAAAAAAAAAAAAAAAAAAAAAAAAAAAAAAAAAAACATATGAAATTAAAAAGGACATTTTAAAGAAAACACTTCAAGGGTTGAACGCCCTTTAAGCAAGGATGCCTAATACCAGATATGAATAACCTGCCAGGCTTTGGTTCTGATGTTACTGTATGTCAAGTATAGCTCAATCCTCAATTATGTACTGATGATTTATATAAAATACAGTAAAACCTTTAATTAATAGACCTCCTATTTAACAGAATTTGAAAATTATGGAAAAAAAAAATTGGCTGGACAAATGTTGGAATCAGACATGATGGAAAAAAGTCTGCAATTCTAGAATTTGTCCATAACAATAGTGTCCAGTTGTCTTTTGAATCATCAAACCAAGTCAGATAATTCCAATGTTTGTCCAGTAAGGGCCAGAGGTTCCATGTCCAGGACTTGTCTGTTTTCAGTGTTCTATAAGCCATAAGCCACCCATGCTTGTTTATTTCCTGTGCTCACTCACACATACACTTGTCATTCAGTTTCAAATTTTCCCTGGATCTACAGAGGTCTGTGTGACATCGTTTACATATTGAGTAAAGTGCAACTAACAATGGTTCTCAGTGTTAAGCAGAAACAAATTAATAAGGTAGGCTAGGTGTGGTGTCTGTGGCATGGATACGTGAGGAATATTCTTTTAAGAAACAAATAGTTTTCACTTCATCTCTCTTCCACAAAAAGGTAAGTAAAATTACTGTAAATTACATACTACAGCTAGCCCTCCACTTTCGTGAGTTTCAAACATTTGTGAATGCCCAGCCGCAGTGAAGAGTTAGAATCCACACACTAGATTCATCATGCCATGCAGTTACACTCCATATTCATTCAACTGTCACCAATAACTGTATGGCTATCATCAAAATCATCATTGTCATTGTCATCATCATCACAAGTCGTCAGAGTTCATCTGCCTAACCTTATGAAGTGGTGAGTGTTATGTTTGCTCATTATTTGTTATTAAACCACAACATGTGGGAGATGGCCGACTTGTTGAAAAAAAAAAAATGTATATACAATATTTTATGTTGTTTTCATGTGCTTTATGATTGTTCATAGCTCAATAGGTTAAGGAAGCAGTATTGTTAGCTAAGTAAATACCATTATTATATTTCCCTACAATATATTTGCACAGTGATTATGTATGAGTGAGGTGAAAGTGTAGAATGATGATAAAAGTATTTTCTTTTTGGGGATTTTCTTTCTTTTCGGGTCACCCTGCCTCGGTGGGAGATGGCCGATTTGTTGAAAAAAAAAAATTGCGCATCAAAACATTCGCGAACGCTACAGTACAGTATTATTACATTTCCCTACATCATATATGCGCACCAAACATTCTCAAATTTTCAAGATTCGCGAGGTTCTTGATCCCCTAACTTTCACGAATGTGGATGGCCTCCTGTATAAAATTACTATACAGTACTGTACTGTATATATACATACATAACTATATTTTTATTTACATTGCAGTACTATACAGGTACTGTAGTTAGAATATAGTATACCTTACACAATACACAATTCAGTAGCATACCTTATACAATACACAATTCAGTAGCATACCTGTACAATACTGTACTGTGCTGTTTTACAGGTCACAATACCCATATTCTTAGTAGTCTTTTGGATCTATGGACTAAGCCCACTTATTCAGAACTTCGTCTGTTTATGTTATAATCATGAAAAATTAATTTTGCAATTCAGAGTCTATGGGCAATTAGCAATAATGTACACACCCCTCTTCCCCTATTGATTTATTAACCCTTAAATGGTCCAAACGTATATATACATTTTTTCAACATCTGAAAGTATGTAAAAAATGCAGATCTTCTTTTTTGCTTTACCTTTGAAAGCATGTAAAGAAAACTTTTATCTACATTTTTTTTTTGTTGTATTTGAAAATATGCAAAAAAAGTAGATCTACTTTTGTAGCACTATGAATTTAGAACGTCGATCTGTTTGGACCGTTTAAGGGTTAATTAATGTGTTCACATAAATTTAAATAATAATAATAATATAATAATAATAATAATAATAATAATAATAATATAGGTAGTAGGCTGGTAGACAGCAACTGCCCAGGGAGGTACTACCATCCTGCCAAGTGTAAAATGAAAGCCTGTACTACATGATGTTTTACATGATGGTAGGATTGCTGGTCTCTTTTTTCTGTCTCATAAACATGCAAGCTTTCAGATACGTCTTGCTACTTCTACTTATCACTTAGGTCACACTACACATGCATGTACAAGTATATATATACACACCCATCTGGTTTTCTTCTATTTTCTTACTAGTTCTTGTTCTTGTTTATTTCCTCTTATCTCCACAGGGAAGTGGAACAGAATTCTTCCTCCGTAAGCTGTGCGCGTTGTAAGAGGCGACTAAAATGCCCAGAGCAAGGGGCTAGTAACCCTTTCTCCTGTATAAATTACTAAATTATAAAGAGAAACTTTCGTTTTTCTTTTTGGGCCACCCTGCCTCAGTGGGATACAACCGGTTTGTTGAAGGAATAATAATAATAATAATAATAATAAATAACAATAATAATAGTTTGGGCGAGATATAAGCGACTATTGGCAGAAAGGTGGGCTAGTGCAAAGATGAGTAGTGGGGGGGTTGAAGAGGGTTGGAATAGTTTTAAAAATGCAGTATTAGAAATGTGGGGCAGAAGTTTGTGGTTATAGGAGGGTGGGGGCAGGAGGAAAGAGGAGTGATTGGTGGAATGATGAAGTAAAGGATGTGATAAAAGAGAAAAAGGTAGCTTACGAGAGGTTTTTACAAAGCAGAAGTGTTATAAGAAGAGCAGAGTATATGGAGAGTAAAAGAAAGGTGAAGAGAGTGGTGAGAGAGTGCAAAAGGAGAGCAGATGAAAGAGTGGGAGAGGCACTGTCAAGAAATTTTAATGAAAATAAGAAAAAATTTTGGAGTGAGTTAAACAAGTTAAGAAAGCCTAGGGAAAGTACGGATTTGTCAGTTAAAAACAGAGTAGGGGAGTTAGTAGATGGGGAGATGGAGGTATTAGGTAGATTACCTGGAGGTTACCTAGAGGTTATTCCAAGGATCAACGCCCCCGCGGCCCGGTCCATGACCAGGCCTCCCGATGGATCAGGGCCTGATCAACTAGGCTGTTACTGCTGGCCGCACGCAGTCCGACGTACGAGCCACAGCCCGGCTGATCCGGCACTGACTTTAGGTATCTGTCCAGCTCTCTCTTGAAGGCAGCCAGGGGTTCATTGGCAATTCCCCTAATGCTTGATGGGAGGCTGTTGAACAGTTTTGGGCCCCGGACACTTATGGTGTTTTCTCTTAGTGTACCAATGGCGCCCCTACTTTTTATTGGCGGCATTTTGCATCGCCTGCCCAGTCTTTTACTTTCGTAGGGAGTGATTTCTGTGTGCAGATTTGGGACCATTCCTTCCAAGATTTTCCAGTGTAGATTATGATATCTCTCTCCCTCCTGCGTTCCAACGAGTACAAGTCAAGTGCTTCCAAGCGTTCCCAGTAGTTAAGGTGCTTGACAGAACTTATACGTGCAGTAAAGGATCTCTGTACACTCTCTAGATCTGCGATTTCACCTGCTTTGTATGGAGATGTTAATGTACAGCAGTATTCCAGCCTAGAGAGAACAAGTGATTTGAAAAGGATCATCATGGGCTTGGCATCTCTCGTTTTGAAAGTTCTCATTATCCATCCTATCATTTTCTTTGCACGTGCGATCGTGGCACTGTTGTGATCCTTGAAAGTGAGATCCTCAGACATTACTACTCCAGGTCCCTTACATTATTTTTCCGCCTAATTGTAGGGCCCGGGAGTCAGTAGTATATTTCTGTTCTAGTTATTATCTCCTCCATTTTCCATAACGGAGTAGTTGGAATTTGTCCTCATTGAACATCATATTGTTTACCCGTTGCCCACTGGAAAACTTTGTTTATATCTTCTTGGAGGTTAACCGCATTCCTCAGCAGATGACAGCCTCATGCAGATCCTAGTATCATCCGCAAAGGATGATACGGTGCTGTGGGTGAAAATTTATTTTGAGGAACTTTTAAATGTTGGGGAAGAAGGGAGGCGGTAATTTCATGCACTGGCCAGGGAGGTATACCATCTTTAGGAGTGAAGAAAGCAGAATGTAAGTGTGGTGGAGATACGTGAGGCATTACGTAGAATGAAAGCGGGAAAGCAGCGGGAACTGATGGGATCATAACAGAAATGTTAAAAAGCAGGGGGGGATATAGTGTTGGAGTGGTTGGTACTTTGTTTAATAAATGTATGAAAGGGGGGAAGGTACCTAGGGATTGGCGGGGGAGGCATGTTGGGTCCCTTTATGAAAAGGGGAAAGGGACAAAAGAGATTGTAAAAATTAGAGGAATAAGTTTACTGAGTATACCAGGAAAAGTATACGGTAGGGTTATAAATTTAAAGAATTAGAGGTAAGACGGAATGTAGGATTGCGGAAGGGGCAGGGAGGCTTCAGAGTGGGTAGGGGATGTGTAGATCAAGTGTTTACATTGAAGAATATATGTGAACAGTATTTAGATAAAGGTAGGGAAGTTTTTATTGCATTTATGATTAGAAAAGGCATATGATAGAGTGGATAGAGGAGCAATGTGGCAGATGTTGCAAGTATATGGAATAGGTGGTAAGTTACTAAATGCTGTAAAGAGCTTTTATGAGGATAGTGAGGCTCAGGTTAGGGTGTGTAGAAGAGAGGGAGAATACTTCCCGGTAAAAGTAGATCTTAGACAGGGATGTGTAATGTCACCATGGTTGTTTAATATATTTATAGATGGGGTTGTAAAAGAAGTAAATGCTAGGGTGTTCGGAGAGGGGTGGGATTAAATTATGGGGAATCAAATTCAAATGGGAATTGACACAGTTACTTTTGCTGATGATACTGTGCTTATGGGAGATTCTAAAGAAAAATTGCAAAGGTTAGTGGATGAGTTTGAGAATGTGTGTAAAGGTAGAAAGTTGAAAGTGAACATAGAAAGAGTAAAGTGATGAGGGTATCAAATGATTTAGATAAAGAAAAATTGGATATCAAATTGGGGAGGAGGAGTATGGAAGAAGTGAATGTTTTCAGATACTTGGGAGTTGACAGTGTCGGCAGATGGATTTATGAAGGATGAGGTTAATCATAGAATTGATGAGGGAAAAAAGGTGAGTGGTGCGTTGAGGTATATGTGGAGTCAAAAAGCGTTATCCCATGGAGGGAAAGAAGGGAATGTATGAAAGTATAGTAGTACCAACACTCTTATATGGATGTGAAGCTTGGGTGGTAAATGCAGCAGTGAGGAGACGGTTGGAGGCAGTGGAGATGTCCTGTCTAAGGCCAATGTGTGGTGTAAATATTATGCAGAAATTTGGAGTGTGGAAATTAGGAGAAGGTGTGGAGTTAATAAAGCATTAGTCAGAGGCAGAAGAGGGGTTGTTGAGGTGGTTTGGTCATTTAGAGAGAATGGATCAAAGTAGAAGACATAGAAAGCATATAAATCTATAGGGGAAGGAAGGAGGGGTAGGGGTCGTCCTCGAAAGGGTTGGAAAGAGGGGGTAAGGAGTTTTGTGTGCTAGGGGCTTGGACTTCCAGCAAGCGTGCATGAGCGTGTTAGATAGGAGTGAATGGAGGCGAATGATACTTGGGACCTGACGATCTGTTGGAGTGTGAGCAGGGTAATATTTAGTGAAGGGATTCAGGGAAACCGGTTATGTTCATATAGTCGGACTTGAGTCCTGGAAATGGAAGTACAATGCCTGCACTTTAAAGGAGGGGTTTGGGATATTGGCAGTTTGGAGGGATATGTTGTGTATCTTTATACGTATATGCTTCTAAGCTGTTGTATTCTGAGCACCTCTGCAAAAGCAGTGATAATGTGTGAGTGTGGTGAAAGTGTTGAATGATGATGAAAGTATTTTCTTTTTGGGGATTTTCTTTCTTTTTTGGGTCACCCTGCCTCGGTGGGAGACGGCCAACTTGTTGAAAAAAAAAATAATAATAATAGTAATAATAACTGCTGATAGCAATCTGCAAGCCAACACAACAATCACAACCTGACTGATCCAGCCCTTGCAGGAAGCGAAAATCATGCTTTTATATTTAATCCTATTATTATTATTATAATCAAAAAGAAGTGCTAAGCCACAAGGGCTATACAGCGCTGTATTTAATCCTAAAAGCCCCTCAAAATACTAATACTGTCATAAGGTACTGGAATAACTTGAATAAATCTTGAAATTTTAAGCTGAGGCAAAGCAGGTAAACTACCTTCTCATATGTTAAAGTAACATTCAGTGTACTACGAACCTCCTTAATTTCTTCAAGAGAAGCACTAGTGCTGATGTTGTGCTGAATGATGATGCTATTAGGCATGAGAAAATCCACTCTCACAGTTGATGGAGTACTGTGGTGAGCCCCGAGGCCGCCGAACTCCATCCCTAAACCTTGCATGTTATACACTGGGAAGGGAAGGGGTCGTGGCCTCCCCATGGGGATGCTGCCAAAATCACCTGCACCGCCTAATGCAGAAAATGTAATAATAATTAATAATGATCATACGAATAAAAATATTCTATATTTTTAAAATGTACATAAGTACTGTACTATAATGAGTGGACTTGTAGTTACATACATACAAATTAAAAAACCCATAATTGTGCACAGCTTTTTCTAGCAGACTTAAACTAAGACTAAGCTATGAATGTGTTAATATCTAATTACATTGTTAAACTAGTTGGTAAATTTCTAAATGCAAATAAACAAACAAGTGACTATCTACCACAATATCTGTAAATGCAATATGCTGTATACTGTATATACAGTACATTACACTTATGGTCAATTATTCTAGGAACATTCCTCCTGTGTAAAGTATATGAAACAGTTATAGGGTTTCCTACAAGTAAGAATGAAATAGTAATAAAAAATATCTTATTCGCAATAATGGTGATTACTAAGATTGGAGCATTAAGACATATTGTACAAACTAACAATAATAATAATTATTATGATTAATTCCCAAGAAGATGCATTATAGATACAACAGTCAGTTAACGGTGTATATCTCTTGCAAAGAAAAGTCTATATTTGTGAATATAATTTTGGCCAGTCTTAAACAAGGACTATTACTGACAATGTAATAATAAAGAGTACACTATGTGCATATAATGTAAAAAAAATCAAGAATTGTGACAAAGTCATTCGCCTGAAAATATTCATTTTGGGAAGTCAAGGACCTGTATATGTAAGATTACCTATTTTAGTTACAGGAAAAGTGCTATGCTCATACTGTACCATTTTCAATACAAAGAATCTTTGTACAGTGCTTAGAACTGTTTCTTATAAAATGTGTAATGCAGAAATTACTTTTCCTATGGACTTTATGTATTAGGAATGATTTCATCGCTGAGGAACCCACTTTTCAGAGAGAGAGAGAGAAAGGAGAGAGAGAGAGAGAGAGAGAGAGAGAGAGAGAGGAGAGAGAGAGAGAGAGAGAGAGAGAGAGAGAAGAGAGAGACAGAGAGAGAGAGAGAGACAGAGAGAGAGGACAGAGAGAGAGACAGAGAGAGAGACAGAGAGAGACAGAGAGAGAGACAGAGAGAGAGACAGACAGAGAGACAGAGAGAGACAGACAGAGAGACAGAGAGAGACAGACAGAGAGACAGACAGAGAGACAGACAGAGACAGAGAGAGAGAGACAGAGACAGAGAGAGAGAGAGAGAGAGAGAGAGAGAGAGAGAGAGAGAGAGAGAGAGAGAGAGAGAGAGAGAGAGAGAGAGAGAGAGAGAGAGAGAGAGAGAGACAGAGAGAGAGAGACAGAGAGAGAGAGACAGGAGAGAGAGAGACAGAGAGAGAGAGAGACAGAGAGAGAGAGACAGAGAGAGAGAGACAGAGAGAGAGAGACAGAGAGAGGAGAGAGAGAGAGAGAGAGAGAGAGAGAGAGAGAGAGGAGAGAGAGAGAGAAGAGAGAGAGAGAGAGAGAGAGACATCCTACCACCTATAACAGGAACTTGCACATGCAAGCCTGTAGGCATATGGGTGATGTTCAAAAGTGGGCCATTACTAAATGGGAGGTGGACACTAAAAGAAAGTTAGCATCAGGTAGGGTAGGCTCCAAAACCTGGTGGTCCCTGGTCAAGGACAGACAAGGTTATCTGCCTGATGAACTTATTCCACCTCTAAATCGACAGGATGGGACCACCTCTACTAGTAGTCAAGAGAAGGCGGACCTCTTTGCTGAACACTTTGCTACCAAAAGCAATTTCCCGATCCAGAAAGGGCCCCTCCTTGGCTAGCTGCAAGAACTGTGTAAAAAAGTCAGTGGTGAAATAAGGCGGAGGGGTGCATTTCCTTCAAAATCACTTGACCAAGAAAAGGCTGTGGGCCCAGACAAGTTACCCCAAAGATTTTAGAAGATGTCAGACCACTACAGACCTCTAACTCGCATTTTTCAGCACTGCCTAGTACAGTGAAAAGGGCCCTCTCCAGGGAAAAGAGGAAAAGTAGCCCCTTTCACAAAAGAAGAGCAGAGCAAAAATCAGAAAACTACAGACCAGTGTCACTCCTGTCAATCACTGGTAAGACCCTTTGAGACAAAAACTCAAGACAAATGACAGTTTTTTTTGAAAAACCACTCACATTTTGGGGATCGTCAAAGGGCCTTCAGGAAAGGTTACTCTCCCTTTGATCGTTTTTAAACCCTTTCCCACTAAGGCCCCCATCATGGATAATCCAAAGTCAGCTTGTGGTGCACTGGACATTGCGGGCGCTTTCGCCCGGGTGGGGGCACCGGGGGCCCTCTTACAAAACTTCAAGCACGGGGAATTTGAGGCTTTTCGCTAGTCTCCTCAGTGATTCCCTTCAGGGTAGATCTCTAAGTGTAGTCCTCAGGAACGGAATCCAAGGACCTATTGGGGGCAAGGTTCCACAAGGAAGTGTTGGGTCCACTGTTATGGAATGTCTACTTAAAACGCCTTTTTTTCATCTCTCCCAGTCACATGCATATCAACGACGTAACCTGACTTTCCCTTTACCAAAGAGAAGAATGCCACTGCTCTAAGTACTCAATCACCCCTGAGAGCTATATCAGCTTGGGAAATAGATGGCAAGTAACATTGCCCTAAAAAAAAAAAATGAGTTCCTCTAGGCACCCTATGGTAATGCTGGGGGCAGTATAAAGGAAAGAAGGGCGATTTGGCACCTGGAGAAGAAGTTGATACCCTTGGGGTGAAATTTGATTTTCCAAAATAACCTGAAGAACCATGTTTTTAAAACTTTAAACGGCAGCCAGGAAACTTTCAGCACTTCCCGTATCTCGCACTGCTTGACAGTAGGGGTTTTCAAGATCCTGTACGGGCACAAATACGCTCACACCTTTATATGCTCCACTTTCTTGGTTGCCTGCCCCCCCTCTCTCGCGATGCTTGACGAGTGGAACAGGGAAGACGTCCATCTCTCCCTGGACCCATCCCCGGAAAGTTTTGTATTTCAGCAGAGCCTTTAAAATAGGAGGGATGTGGGGGCCTTACTGTTATTAAAGGCCCAATATTGTCAAAAACCACACTTGGATCCCCTTTTGAGGGCAGCTGAAACAACTTTTATGCCACAAAGACGGGCAAAAGCAGCAACTTCACTCTGCTGTACCCTTTTCCGAAATCATCCATCTGAGATCTAAAACCCAGGATGACCCAGTATGGAACACATTCGTACAGCATAATATGTCAAAGGATAACTCTTGATCAAATGAAAATGTGGCCCCAGTGGGTCCAAATTTATCCTGTTTTCCCTATTGTATGTCTCATAACAAAATGCTTTCAAATGAGCGATGTTAACAGTCTTACTTGCCCAATAAAGTTAGGGAAACCTTAACCTGTAAATAGCTGTCAAAAAAGTAGGGGTCCTTAACCTTTTTCAAACCCGTTAAAAAAAAAAAAAAAAAAAAAAAAAAAAAAAAAAAAAAAAAAGAGAGAGAGAGAAGAGAGAAGAAGAGAGAGAGAGAGAGAGTGAGTGAGTGAGGAGTGGAGTGATAGTGATTTGACAAGGTTTAAAGGGTCCTAACTTTTATTGACAAGCTATTTACAGGTTAAGGATTCCCAACTTTTTTTGGGAACTAAAGCTGTTCCTACATCAGCTCTTTTAAAGCAAAATTTTATTGTTAGAGACATACAAGTAGGGGAAAAGGGAAGTTGGAGCCATTGTGGGGAGCATTTTCATTTTATCAAATGACTTTTTCCGTTGACATCATTATGCTGACAAATGTTTCCATACTCGAGTCACCCAGGGTCTCGGTATGGAAAAACATTTGTACACAAATGATGTCAACGAGATAAAGTCAGTTGATCAAATGAAAAAGCGGCCCCCAGATGGCTCCAACTTCATCTGTTCCCCCTTGTATTTTTCTAAAAATAAAAAAGCTTTCAAATGACTGATGTAGGTAACGCTTTTTTGTTCCCAAAAAGTTAGGAAACCTTAACCCGTAAATAGCTTGTCAATAAAGTTAGGGACCCTTTCCCCGCAAACCCTGTTAAAAAAAAAAAAAAAAAAAAAAAAAGAGGAGAAGAGAAAAGAGAGAGAGACAGGGAGAGACCCGAGACAGAGAGAGAAGAGAGAGAGAAGAGAAAAAGAAGAGCAGAGAGACAGAGACAGAGAGAAAAGGAGAGAGAGGAATAAACAAAGAAAAATGCAAACTTCCTCAAACCCCTCAAACAACCCACAAACTTTACATAACAAACTATAATTCCGAGGCATTTTGAATATAAATATCTAGTAGACGAATAGGAAAGGACATCTATCTCACGCTCAGCGGATGGAGGCTTGAGCCTATTGCGCTGAATGACCCACATGGGTTCAACGTTTAACATGAATTATTAAAATTTAATACAGCCTCTCCTCACTTAGAGACACACTCATTTACCGATGACTCAGATTTATGACAGGCTCTCTGACCAGTATGCATACATAAATACGGTATATTAGAGCTTATTTCCTCTATTCTGTTTATTACAATATACAGTACAGTGCCGTACAAACATTTAAAAATATACCAGAAATGTAATAAATGGTGCAAAGGTGACATTAAAACAATATCAAAGATTGTTGACACAAACCCACTACCATTATAGTATGCTCCTCACTTAGCGATGAATTCGTTTACCGATGTGGTCTTAGGAACGGCACTCCATCATTAAGTGAGGAGAGGCTGTATTAGAATATGTAAACTGAGGTAACAAAGGGAGAGTGGCACCTTCTAATATCCAGCTTTGCAGGGCCATTGATTATTTATTTATTTATAACACATCTGCTGAAAGAGAAAATCTTTCATCATCATTCACTCCATCACTGTCTTGCCAAAGATGTGCTTACACTACAGTTATAAAGCTGCAACATTAATACCCCTCCTTCATAGTGCAGGCACTGTACTTCCCATTAACATCTGCATGTAACACATATTGTGCTTACATTCTTGTGAGGAGACAAAGTACAGCCACATACCAGTGAACTCGCAAGAGAACCTGACATC